CATTTGTGAGACTATCTTATATTTATAAATGAGGTTTACTTAGATGCAGGTGATTTGGAAATAAGTTATTCAGTATGTTCTAGACTTAGAGCACTAACCTGGTGGTGCTCAAAATTATTTTATTTTGACATCACACAAATTTAGATATTTTAATCTCCAACATGTACTAATTCCACACTAAGTTATTTTCATACTATGATGAATGAATTTCTAAGTAACATTTAAAGCAATCTTACAGACAACTTAAAGTATCCATACATTTAATTTTGGAAGTCTTCATACATTTTAACAGAATCTTTTCTACAAAAAATCTACATTTTAAAAGTGACAGTATTTATGTTGCCCTGATATGCCCAAAGAGTGATACACAAAGGAAACGAAGTGTGTATCTATGCTCCCATGTGCTCCAGTCTATTTCACACACTTTAGACCATTAAAATACAGGTAGGTGATAGGTAGTTAGATAGATTATTGTTTTCATTAACGCCCTCACCCCCGTGAACAAAATAGAGTGACAGGACCCATTTCTCATTAGGTAAAATGCATGCTATTTTGCAAAAACGGGTACTCTCTATTTTAAGAAGTCTCCAATTAAAAATAAAAGGCAGAGTGAATGTTTACTTTAAAAAAATGCAGAAGAATTTGCCAAAGGATCATTTTGATGTCATGAGTGCCTCCAGAAAATAAAGTTTATATTTTACAGAATGTGGTAATATACTTAGTTTTTTAGAAACTCAATTACTATATTCTGCAAAGAATACCAGTACTGTATAATTATGCTTGTTCTTAACTATTAAATTTATAACAAATAAAATATATTTTTAAGCACCTTGTATGTTTTGGTAATATAACTTTAGTTTTAATTTTTAGATGACTGTGACCTATGACTAGAAAGTATAAAGCATGACTAATCCTGTTTTTTTTTCTTTTTAGTACTTCCTGCATGTGATTTTTAGATATTAGCCTCATAATCAATTCTGAGAAAGCATAAAAATTTTTAAAGAGTAATAACCCATACTAAAGTGTGTAAGAAAAGTAGTTGTATCTTTCAAATAATTCTAATGATATTTTAATGAGTATAAATTATGCAGAGAACAATCAAATATGTATTACAATTAGCATTTCATAAAAAATAAGAGGAAAAATGCATGTAACATGATGAAAATGGGCTCATATTCACAAAGTGAAATCTTTGAAACTAATGAAGTCCCTCAAATTTTCTGTAAAAAATAATAAAATAAAATACATAAAGGTTTTTATATCTTTACCACTGTAACTTGTCTTTCCATTTTTGAAAATTACTTATTTTAATAACTTAAAAAGCATGAAAATGTTTTATTATGGCTTACTCATTGTGGTCATTAATTTCTAGCACAATTACTAAAATAACTGAGAATATCTTATATTTGAAGTGAAAGTTATTTAATTTAAGGTGACATGGAGATATTTTATTCAATATCTTCTGTAATCAGAGTACCAAATTCAGAAGTGATTAAAATTATTATATCTTACACTCCACAAATTTTGATGTTATTCTCTGATATATAGTAATTCCATATTAATTTACTTATATACTATGAGTTTATACGTAGTATTTAAAGCAATCCTACAGAAAATATTTAAACTACATAAAAAATTATAAATGGTGTACTAAAATTTTTTTCATATACCACGGCCGGCGTTTGTTTGTTTGTTTTCACTGAATCCTGTTCATAAGGACATTTAGTGCTTATTTAATAGAAAATAAATCCACAAAAATGCAACCAAACTGTAGAGAATTAAATATTAGTATATACTAACAATGCTAGATTTCGTAATAAACAAAACCAGGATTAATAGTTTTGTTAAAGTTTACTACTTCAACTAAAAACCTTTTTCCAAAAACCTTTCCAATCAGTTTTGCTAAGGAATAATTATTTATATATTAATGTAAGCTAATCATTATACCTTTTACTTATTTATCACTTCAAAAAGTTTACAGAGTGCTTCACATGCATAATAAATAAAAATTCAACCTGTTAAATCATGGTATAGATAATGACAATTTAAACCCTAAAACACGTAAGCTAGAGCTAAACCATTCTACAAAACATGGTAGCTTAAAAAAGATGTTTTAAGTACCAGATGTCTCTGTTTGATTTTACACTTGATGCTATGTACTACAATTATACTTCATGAAATTTTCAAGAGCTTAGCATCTGAATTTGTTTCAAATAAATATAATCAGATGTTTCTTTAGAAGCAGAGTTTCAAAATTATTGTCTTAAAATTCTATAATAAACAAAATGATGGAAATCTAATATTAAAAGGACCAGGAAGGCAGATTTTTATAATTTCTAAATAGATTTAGGAGTATTGTACCAATGATTCCATTGAAAAACATTGAAATATTAAGAGATATACATGGCTACCCAAGATGTCAAGTCCTAAAATAAATAAGAACTATTTTATGCTATATCCATACTTGGAATATTAATCTGAAATTGTATGACTGAAAAAATTCTTACTTCTTGTGTTAACTGAAATTATCATGTACATTTGTTTAATTTCATGTAAAAGATGAGCCATTACCTTAGTGAGACATAAGTAACATCGTATGTAATGAATTTATATATACTAGTTACTTTTGAAGAAAACTCTGAGTTTATATTTTAAATGTGTATTTTAAAAATCATTAAATTATATTAGTGGGTACAAATATTTGGGCCTTAAAAATCAAACATATTTCATATTCAAATGACATTTTATTTAGTAGATGAACTTTCTGGGTGAAACCATCTTTTGGACTGAATTTTCTGCTATATCACCTTTGTTCATGGAGACAAATAGGCAACAGGGAAAGCTGCGTATGGCATTATTTTAGGGGATAAGACTAATGGACTTGGAGCATCTGGAGATCAGCATTAGTATACCACCAGCCATCTGTGCTGAGACATACAGAATTACAGGAAGAAAGGCCAAGTCCTTTGACTATCTCTTATGATTAAATTTGCTAAAATGTCTAAATGGAAAAAAAATTAATGAGGACCAGATATTAGTTGCTCACGTTAGGTAGTCAAAACCCAACCCTCTGGTCTTCAGCTTGGGAGAACTGACACTTGATAACAGAGCAGCCGATATGTAGGGGCCACCAGCACTGAGTGGACATCAGAGTCTCCTTAAAGAATCCCTTAAAGAAGCCCTTGAGATACCACGGAAGTTCTGTGATCTCCTCTGAACTCCTGAGGCTGTCAGTAACCCTACAGTGATTCTGAGCCTGCATTTCTTCAAAAGATTCTTGTGGCAAGCGACAGTTGCCTTCATGTGGACATTAGCTGACGATGAGCTGTCATTTACAGGAAAGGATAGAGAGAGGAAGATATCGGCACAATCCAATGCCGATTCATTGTTACTGACCAAAGCAGAGAACAATTTATAAGCACTGTCCTGGGGCATAAATGCAGAGATTCCATTCCTACCAGAGTAAACCTACAAGGAGAACAATCGCACTCTGCCTGCTGACGATGCATCTCGGGACTCACCAGAACAATCAGTTTCTTTAGGAAATATTCCCTGATCGCCGTCTCCTACTCCTGCATTAGGGATTCTCCCTATATACAGCTGTAACCTTAATCAAATTAGACCTGCAGCAGCACTACTGGAGTGAGGTATTTACATTTTTATCTTGAACACTAGAAGGTAAAGTTCTAGCAAACAGAGACCGTGATTATTTTATTTTTATGTCCCCAGGACTCACTGCCTAGCACATAGTAAGTGCTCAGTAAATACTTGTTGAATGGAAATTAACTGAAAAAGGTCTGACCACCACATCCTGCACACCTGCCACAGTAATGATTTGGAGGTGGGGAAGAGAAGATTCCGTAAGAAGCACCGAGGCTTAATTGTTCTTTCGAAAGAGAGAGAGAGAGAGACCAACAGCTTGAGATGAAAATACCATGATATAGTCTCCTCAAGGCTAGAATAAATGCAGGTATTATAACATCAGAAAACATCAGTGAGCCTGCTATCACTGACTAAATAACACCTCTGTAGGCCAATGCAAAGAAACCTACATCACTTATCATAATGATAGTGTTTTACTGTCATAAATACTTAAAACCAAAGAATCTGGTATAAGAAAAAAATTTAAATATATGCATATTTCTGGGACTCCATATTTTATATGTTAAACTTATTTAAAACTTTCAAATGACTAGACTTATTCTCCTACTAGTATATTGTTACAAAGTATTTAAAATTGCTCTAATTATTTGGAATAGAATAATTGATATCACTGACAAAAATGTTGTTTTATATGTGGATCACTTTCTCTGAAATAAAAGTTCATTCATTCTTTTGGAAAAAATGGTTTCCAAAGGGAAGTTCAAGTTTTTAAAGTTACTACAAAAATATTTCTGATGACACAGAAACATACATTTACTTCATCAATAGACATAAAAGGATTTCTTACATATACAACATTAATAACGTTTTTATGAAAGTAATGGGCCTATGAAAAAGTTAAAAGCTGAAATGTCTACATTTCAACTTTTCTGTCATTTATGAAAGATATAAAGCATTAGTTTTACTCTCTGCCTCTTTAAATTTAACCTATTTTTATGACACATTCTTAAATAACAGGGGACATATGGGATAAGGATTGAAATATGTACTTTGGATACATTTTATAGACAAAAGCTGAAATCAAGGCAATTATAATCAGAGAATAAAGCAAACAACTGAATATCACAATTGCACACAGAATAAAGCTTGATTAAATAGTTAGAAGGCAAAGAGCTGCATATATAAAACATCAAAGTACAGTCTAATAGTTCGCATGCTTAGGTGATTTCAACTTAGCTCTTAGATGCAACTTCATAAAAGTCTAATGTAAATAAAATGTGTGTTAAGCTCTTTCCCCTAAGACAAAACTACTCAAAACTCTTAAAGTCTCTCAATCACCATACATTTTACAATGCCAAAGAAGAATAAAAAGAGAAATTATTAATTTTTAAAATTACCCAGCAATTCCATTGCATCATCTTCATTATCAATATCTTCTTCTGTTACAGGTGGGGTAGGGCTGTGAATAGACTCAAAAGAATCTTGAGAGAGCATCGCTGCCAGCAGTTTCTTATGTTGCTGTTGCTGCTGTTTTAATCCCTTGGTCTTGGGTTCCACCTTTAAGCTGAAGAAATATTTAAGTGTTAACTTTCAACGATGATGACATGATGCATTAGCTGTGGTGAGTGAAGAAAATCGACAATCACATTTCATTCCATTATTTTGCCATGCAAATTTATGGACATTTTATTAAAATTTTCCCCAAGTATAATAAAAATACAGAGCCTTGTCTTCTTTCTTAGACATCCTTTGGTACCTCATTCCTCAAGTTTTCATTTTAATAAAGTCCAGTTTACATTTTTTTTTTTCATGGATTGTGCCTTTGGTGTTATACCTAAAAATTCACTGCCACACCTGAGGTCATATAGGTTATCTCTTATTTTCTTATAGAAGTTTTATAGTTTTACATTTTACATTTAGGTCTATGACCCATTTAGAGTTAAATTTTGTGGTGGGTGGGAGGTCTCTGTCTAGACTTTTTTTTTTTTAACATGTGGATGTCCAGTTGTTCCAGCACCATTTGTAGAAAAGGCTACCTTTGCTCCATTGGATTGCTTTGGCTCCTTTGTCAAAGATTAGTTTACTGTATTTCTGGGCTATCTGGCCTCTCTTTTCTGTCCCATTCTCTAATCTTTTGCCAATATACACTGTCTTGATTACTGTGGATTTATAGTAAGTCTCAGAGTAAGTTACTATCAGTTCTCCAATTTTGTTCTTCTCTTTCAATAATTTGTTCACTGTTCTGGGTCTTTTACCGCTCTATACAAACTTTGGAATCAGTTAGCTGACATTCACAAAATAACCTGCTGAAATTTTGATTGGGCCTATACATAAGTTTTAGTCTATTTTCTCTCTGGTGTTCATTTTGGATAAATTCTATAGATCTATCCTCATTAAAAAACTCTATACTCTGTCATTTCCAATCTGGGTCCATTTAACAAGTTTTTATATTTTGTTTCAGTTACCTAAATTTCACTTGGTTCTTTGTCAGTATTTATATTTGTTGATATTTGTTTCAAGGGAACTTATAATTGTTTGTTGAAGCATTTTTATGATTTTTTAAAAAGCAGGATTAATTAGATTTAATGGGAAGAATCCAAAATAAAGTTCAAAGTTGTAAACCAGTGGTTCTCAACCTGTGGGTCGCGACCCCTTTGGGGGTCGAACGACCCTTTCACAGGGGTCGCCTAAGACCATCGGAAAACACATATATAATTACATATTGTTTTGAGATTAATCACTATGCTTTAATTATGTTCAATTTGTAACAATGAAATTGGGGGTCACCACAACATGAGGAACTGTATTAAAGGGTCGCGGCATTAGGAAGGTTGAGAACCACTGTTTTAAACTAAGATGGCTGAGGGTTTCAGTGATGCTGACATGATCAGAGCAAATTGTGGGAGTTGCATGTTCACTGAAGAAAGTCAATCGCATATTGTAATCTAATGTCTGATGTGAGAATGATGCCACTTCATCTTCTGACTCTATTTTAGGAAACACATGCATTTAAAATCTTTGCCAGATAATTCCATCATCTGATTCTTCCTAATGTTGGCATTAGTTGACTATCTTTTCTCATGTAAGGTGTGGTTTTCCTGATTCTTCGTATAATGTGATTTGCACAATTTGACTATTATTTTAAGAGTGTCTGGGGCCTATTCATATTTTTTATTTTAAAAGGCAGCCCCCTGGCTTACTTTTGTAATTTGTGGTTCCAGTGACAGCTTCAGAGCTCTTGAAGTGCTATTTTAGTCTGCTTGGGCTATCTGGTGTTGCTGTGGCTCCCAGTGTACCTGCTGGTATTGCCTGAGAGGGCAAAAGGAGCATCTCCAGGTTGTGCATCTGGTACCTTTAGGTAGATAAAGGGAATGTCTGGCTGTGGGGACATAAAGGATTCCTATGTCAAGCTTTGCTGTGGAGGGATCCCTCGTGTCTTTTTGTCAAGTAAAAGGCACTTAACTGCCCACTGTCTTCAGTGGGGAAGAGGAGTCTCAAGTCTGGCAGGAAAGGACAGTATGTCCTCTGACCCTTTCTTGTGAGTGGGACTCTGTCAATTCCCTGGCCAGTGCAACCAGGCTCTACCAGTGAGGCCGGGAGGACTCCTGTTTGATTAGGGGGGAAATGAACTTATCAAGGCCACCACCTCCTCTTGCTAGTTTGGGGTTGGGAAATGCCAGGCCTCGTTTGCCTTATGCTGTTGGTGGGAGACTCATACATTGCTGGCCACTGCTGCTCCTCCAGTCGTCAGATCCCTAGCCATTCCATCTTCCTCTTTACATTTTTCACAGCATAAAACTGCTTTGGCTGCCTTTTGCATTATTTCCAAGGTTTATAGTTGTATTTAAGGGGGAGGAGCTGAGAGAGTCTGTGCCATCTTTTCCAAAGATGACTTGGTAGATGAGGTGGTAGATGACTTGTTAATTACAAATGCAAATGATATCTTCACAATGAAGAACCCTAGTGGATAGGGCCTTAACCTTGCAACTAAACAAACTCAGTATCAGCAATAATGGGACAAACTGACATTATGAATCTCTAGATATGGGAAAAAGAAGAAGTACTCAGTACTACTACCTATGTAGAATTACTGCCAAAAATATTTAACTGGAGTTTAATGATCAGGAAACAATCAGACATGTCCAGATTTGGAAACAATTGCCTGCCATCTACAAGGATATCAATGTTATGAAATAAAACAAAAGTCGGAGACTGTTCTAGATTATAGCGACTAGAGAGACTTGAAAACTTAACTCCACACATGATCCTTCATTAGATGGTAGATAAAAAAGAAACAAACAAACAAACAAACACCAAAACACAACAATCTATAAAAGACTCTACTGGAAAAAAGAAAGTTGAATATAAACTTCATATTAGATAACTTTATAGTATCACTGCTAAAAGTTTTGGTATGTTAACGGTATTATAGTTGTATATGAGGATATCCTTATTATCAGGAAATGAATGTTAAAGAATTAAGGAATTAACACATTATAATATCTATAACTTATTTTCAGGTGTTTCAGCATAAAAAAAATAGGATAAATAAATTAGAATAGATTGATCTATTACCATAGGTAACACAAAGGCAAAATGTTAATTGGTGAATATATGTGGAGGGTATGTAGATATTGATATTACTATTCTTAAATTTTCTGCCGTTTGATACTTTTCAAAGTGAAAACTTGAGGGTAAAAATAAGAGGAATTATAATGAAGGCATACTCTTATCAACAATGCTTACTTCAACTTTAACTTCCATCCTAACTTAGGTTCCCCACTTAAACAGGAACTATTGTGATAAAAAAAAAAGGCCTATCTTTTAAAATATTTGTTTCTATTTTAGTAACTATGAGTATAATTCAAATTCAATTAATGAGACTCGCTTGTATATTTTATTTTATTTTTTTTATTTATTGCTTAAAGTATTACAAAGGGTATTACATATGTGTCCATTTTATCCCCCTGCCCTAGACAGTCCCCTAGCCTCCCTATCCCCCAGTGTCTTATGTCCATTGGTTATGCTTACATGCATGCATGCTTGTATATTTTAATAGTAGAGATAAAACATAAAATATTCACTTATAAATTGATGGAGGCTTATTTACCCCAATTTCTTGTCATGGCATCAGTCTTCTGAATAATTTTGCCATGTGTCTTTTAAGGTGAGAAATAATGTAAAATTTAAAAATCTTCCTTGACAAACTGTATTCATTGAGAAGGCCTTTTGAATGAGAAAGGCCTGTGGATTGTAGAAGTGAAAACTGCACCATGAGAGAGGACATGGAAGGGAAGCAGGATCTTAATGCAAACAGGCGGTAGGGAGATGGGGAGAGATGGGTTTGGGGTGTTTCTAAGAGCACTTAGGGTTCTGGGCCCCCTCTTACCCAGATATTGAACCAAAATTTTAATAATATTGGGATTCTTAGAACTTTTCCCTGAAGAAAAGTATTAAGGACACAGAATTTGAAAGCAAAACAGCCTAGCTCAGCTACTTCACAGCTTTGGGACTTAGTTCCTTATTTCTAAAATGGGAATAATAATAATGTTTTTATGAGGAAACACATAGAGCAGTCTCTAAAGTGGCAACCAATATCATTATATGTTCAAAGAACATAATGGGCAGCTTTCTAAATATTTACGTTTCTTCGTGAGCATCTGTATCTCACATAGAAAGTACAGCACAGGGAATATCTATAATAATAAAAGTGTAATATGCTAATTAGACTGGATGCCCTTCTGGATGTCCTTCCATCCTTCCGGACGAATCTAGGGATGTAAGGGAAGCCCGGGTCCCGGGTTCCTGCCGGTGGCCACAGGGGGAAGGAAGGGAAGAGGGAAGCCGATGCTGGCAGCTAGGGGAAGGAAGGTCTACTCTTACACAAATTTCATGCATTGGGCCTCTAGTGGTCAATAATATTGGAATAACTATGTGGGTACTGCAAATATCAGGGGAATCACTTTGTCAAGTATATGATTATCTAACTACTATGTTATACACCCAAAACTAATACAAAATAGTACTGAATGTAAACTTTAATTGAAAATAAAATTTAAATTAGAAAAACAAAAGGGAAAGGGAACCACAAGAGGCCTTAGGCCATATGAAAAAGAATAGCACTTAATATTTCAGTGTGGTGTTGATACACTCTAGGAATCTATTTTGCTTTGCTTTAAAAAGGTAACTTCTAAACCAAGATCAGATGGAAAGGGACAATTTAAAGGGGATTTGATGTCCCTGCCCTGGTGTGCCCACCTCTCCAGGTGGAGACTTCCTCATCCCTCTGGACAGCCTTCTTCCTGGTCCTACTCTTCCCCGGGACTTGACCTTGATCCATTTTGTTTAACACACTGTTTCTGAATACAGGTTAGTAAATATTCTATTTGAGCCCATACGCTCTCTTTAGTGGCAAACTGGATGATTCCTCTCTTGACTTGTATCCTAAGCTTGTTTCAGTTCACCATCACAGCCTAATTGTCAGAACCTAATCTGTACCTAGCATGTTACCTTCTATGTTAATGCTCAATAGATATTTTTTAAATCACTTTTTCTTTTTGAACT